TTCTTCTCCCAAATTCCAAGTGTCAGGGTGTTATAAATAACAAACTCTAAAAAGGTTTTCCCCTTTTCTTTCCTTCAATTCTGTTTATTGCACAGAGTGTTGAGACTGGGAGATGGTAAGAGAAGTAGAACAAAGGAGATAAAAAGCATCAGCACTGGATTCCATAATCAGCATGTTTACAGTAGAGAAACACTTGAGAGGATCTCACTTGACTCATGTGATTCTAAAAAGAGAGATGAAGAAATCCCACCTTGCTTTCCCCGATTCTGCCTCTCGGATGGTAGCTACAGAATAAGAACAACATTAAGATGGTTATAAAAATATTGGTTAAGAGCCTGGGTCCAGAATCAGAAAGGTGTATACTGATTTTACGTGAATGCAACTCAGCAGATCCAGGTGGGTTGACTCTGCACCTGCCTCCATTCAAGTATTAGGTGTGGTTTTGCAACAACAGTCAACAGTTGTCCCCTCAGTTGATCTTACTTTCCATGTGACTAATAAATTTGAGCCTGCCAATGAGCTGAGTATGATTTTAGAGTTTAAACTTTTCATACAATAGCCCCTACGTGTAATTCATGAGCTCATTGGGTGCTCACACAAGGGAAACAAAACTGTGTTGGACGGTCTGAAAGGTTCTCTTGCTTTCAAAGGGGTGTCTTCCTAGAGGATTTAGCTGTGTAGTTTTGACTAAACAAGGTTTCACCTTACTTTCTGTCTTTAGAACCTAACCCCAAGATAAATTAGTCACTATACTAATTATAACCATGGCAAATTATTCAATCTCTCTGAGCCTAAGCACCCTTATCTGTATATGCCATACGATTGTTATGAGGATAAAATAAGACAAACAAAAGAAATGTGTACCGACCCGTACATAAGCAGATCCCTCATGCATACAGAATTTCTGTGTCCGGTTGATTAGTGGAGAATGTGCACCTACCAAAAAGAAAACTCTAAAATAAGTCCTTTCAAGATTCTTAGTTTTAAGTATATTCCAGGTGACATAATAACATTAGGATCCATTCAGCCTCATCTATTAACCCGACACACTTCCAGGCAACTTTAAGGATGCTGTACTGGCATGATGGTTGCTAAGACTGGATGAGAAGACCTGCGTGAAAGCTACACTCTGAAGCAGATAAGGAAGGTGTCAAAGCTTGCCCCTCTTTTGCCTGTTCGTTTTTCTGCAGGCCACTTACCCTGGCCTAGCCCTGTCGGTAAGTGAGAACCACTCTGCCTCTCCCCACACTCAACTGCTACCTTCAAGGCCTCATAAAGACCCAAAGGCTCTAACAGTGTCTCCAGAAGGCCTTGATGTCCTCTTGGCACCAGAGCTTCTCCATGAACCAGAAGGAATGTTTTGGAACATGATACAAGGACAAGATATGAGGAGTAAACACAACAAAGGTCAACTTTGCTTTAGAGATTGGTGAAAACACTGTAAGAACACCACACCATAGACTATGAAAACCTCAAATGTGTAGAAATGACACTGATGGCTGCCATTTACCTGCATGTTGCCTGATAATAGCCATCAGCTGGGATAGCAGCTTAAGGTTGTATTTGCTAGGAGTTCTGAATTATGCTGTTCCCTAAGAAGGGTAGTAGTAGAACTAGTAAAAGTAGTTAGTTGGTTCCAGTTCATATTCTAAGTACTTTACATATGCTAACTCATTTCATCTTCCTATAAATCCTATGAGATATATATTATTTTCATCCTCATTCTATAGATGAAAAAACAGAGCATAGAAGTAAATTGCCAAGATCACACAACAATTAATTGTAGGACCTGGGATTTGAACTCAGGTAGTCTGTCTCCAGAGACTGTGCTCTTAATCTCAGGGGCTGGCAAACTTTTCTGTAAAGGGTCAGCTAGTATATATTATAGGCTTTTATATGGTCTCTGTTGCATATTGGCTTTTTTTCTTTTTGTAATCCTTTAAAAATGTAAAAACCAATCTTAGCCCATAGATGATACAAAAACAGGCTGCAGGCCCATTTTGGCCTGTGGGCCATCCATAATCTGCTGGCTAGTATTGCACATGTTGACCAAAGGTTTAGGTACACAATGGGTCTGCTACTCTATACTCCCCTTAGGCAAATCCTATATGTCTATAATACAATTAGATTTCTGTTGACAAAATAATCCACAATTCTGACTTCATCTCTCTCTCATTTTGTCTGATATTAACTAGTGATGCTGTTGCTTTCCTATTAACTAGTGATCTTTTTGTTGGACATTTAAGAAGGGACTGTAAGGATGTCATAAGAGCTTCTCTTCCAGTCACTTTCAATCTGTCATTGGCTTTCTCCCCAGGTTGTGTTATCATATATGGAAGTGACTTTAGGCAGTATGGTATTGGACTGGAGTCTGTTTTTTCTTTGATTGACTAGAAATAAAGGCATTATCTCTAAAACTTTAGGCCTATCACTTTTCTGGGCCTGACCTGACATTAATTAAGGCAGTTCTTCTAGTAGAAATTTATCAGTAACCTGGCATCTAATTCTTTATCATTTTCATTAAAGCTTAAAATGGCTTATAAAGAGACATGGTTCATGAAATAGATTAATATCACGATGGAACTCCATGCTTTCTAGGTCCCTGCTGTATGCTCAGAGATTCATAATGTCACCACAGCATTCTAGGCTAGGCTGTTAGTGGAGAAATCGCAGTGAGTTATTGGATTTGCTCAAGATAAAATCTTAGACTTGCAAATAAATCCTGATCATTTTTTTTTAACACTTCTATGGTGCATAATATATAACTCTGCCTCAGGTAATGAGTGTGAGGAAATCATTGCTTTTTTTATGTCAGTTTGAAACCTAAGAGAAAACTTACAAAAGTATTTTGCAAGTCATTTAGACCACAACCGACAGTAAAGAATATACTAAAAAATTTATATCATGATCCAGTACATGCCTATCTACACATATATATAAAATGGAAACAAAAGTTTCAGAGGCAATACTACTCTTACTACATTTGAGGCATTTCTAATATTTTCTAATCAATTCTATTCCATTTAAATTTTTGATGCCTCTCATTACCCCTAAATTTATTTCATAACTTATTAATGGGTCTTGACCCAATTTGAAAAACACTTCCTTAGAAGACTGAAATGCTCACACTGCTCATATTTACAAGAAGCAATTGTTGTTGGGCCAGCCCCAGTGGCCTAGTGGTTAAGTTCAGTGCGCTCTGCTTCAGCAGCCTCGGTTTGGTTCCCAGGCACGGATCTACACCACTGGTCTGTCAGTGGCCGTGCTGTGGTGGTGGCTCACGTACAAAAAGAGGAAGATTGGCAGCAGATGTTAGCTCAGGGTGAATCTTCCTCAGCAAAAAAAAAAAAAAAAAAGAGAAGCAATTGTTTTTGGGTTCTTGTGTGTGCTTAAAGCTTAGGTTGATTTATTGGCTGAGAACCAACCATGCGTAAATCACTGTGCTAGGCTCTGTGGGGGGTGCAAAGAGTTTTGCCTTCAACTGCCTCAAGCCAGGAATTTGCTGAGTTGCGAAGGAAACCAGGATGAGCAAAATGACATATCATCACTATCCTCATAGAACTTAGGATCTAGTAGATGAAAGAAACTCAGAATTCAAGGAGTTTTGGAAGATAAGTCATTCACTTGACGAAGTATGTTACATAAGTACATAGCTTTGTTAGCTCTTTCTGGGTAAAAGGTGTTTTCTTCTTAACTAGGAGAGTCAATCCCGTTTTTACAGATGAGAAAATAGAGGCTTGGAGAGCTGTCATTTATCACAAGTCACATGGCTATTTTGAGTCTAAATCCAGGCCTGTTTGTAATATACATGCTGCCTCTCATGATCAAATGGGTTTCATGTTAGAAATAAAGTAATTTGGGAGTTCAGAAGAGGAAGTGATGATTAAGTCACATTATAAAAATTTTTCGGCCCTCAGACAGTTTGGAAAGATCTTAAGAGGTCCCCTTACTCATCTCTTTCCTTCAGGAGGATCTAATTATTTTCAGAAAAAGAGATGAAATAAGTCTTTTAAAGAGAAGAGTGGTAGCTTCTAGTGTTTCACATCTTTTCTGAATAAATTCTTATAATCCCTCATTTGGAATTTTACTCATCTAAATCCTTATTTCAAAAACCAGGAAACAAAGCAGAACATTTTTTCAAGATCATCAGGGCAAGAAACCAAAGATTGTCACCTGTCTGAGAGAATCTATACTTTGTTCTCATCACCAAGCATTTCACTAGCACAGACCCAAGCGACCATGCTACCTATAAAGTGAACGTCTACTACTTCTGACTACTAGGAGCTGAAGGTCTAAAATGGCAGATATCAAAGGTCATCTCAACTTCAAAACACCATTCAGTGGAACTCTATACACATATTCATGCTCATCTGTTAGATATTTGTGCCTTGGCGATCAGCTCATTCTGTAAACATGAGTGTAATAGTGTCCTACTGGGGAAAACCAAAATCATTTAGATACAAAAGAGTGATTATAGTGAGAAAATGGGCAAGGAGAAGATTTTTAAGGTGCTAATCCTTTGTAGAGCCATATGCATAGAGGAGCAGATCTCTCTGTAATCGTCTGTGTGCAGAGATGTTCCTTCTGGCCTTGCCACCTATGTAAAAGCCTGTTATATGCTCTCCGAGTCCCATGACTTCTTCTCTTAACATTCAGCGGAAATTTTAATCGTCCATTTATTTTGTGACTGTTTAATCCATAGGGTCTCTCTCTGTATGGAACCCTCACTAGACTATAGGTTCCATAAAGGTAGAGACTCCATTTTCACTGTATTATTACTGTATCCTCCAGTACTAAGCATGGTGATTAATACATAGTAAGTATTTAAGAAATACTTATTGGATGAATGAATGGGCATTTTAAGGTAGTCTGGAATGTTGTTTTAAATACCATTTAAACATAAAAAGTCACTTTGGTTTAGTCCAATCCTTATTTATTATTTATTAGCTACTAAAGAGCAACTGATAATCACTCACGATGTTCTTCTGTTTGTTTTACAGTCAACTTTGACCACTTTGAAATTTTGCGAGCCATTGGGAAAGGCAGTTTTGGGAAGGTGAGAACCAAAATGATTAACCAGCAGGGTTATGTAGCTCAGGGAACAGAGTCTGACAATGATCAGATTATTGAGTTACTGGGACCACAAGGAATGACAAGTCAGAGGCGTTTTTATAATGGATTTTTATAAAATTGTCACCACAGGGTGAGGAAGCTATGTGACAGGCAGCTATATAATGAATATGTACTGTTCTCAGAATTATCTCAAAGTCAAATCCGTTTACTGTCACTCGAGTTGAAGACTTCCTCTCTACAGGAGAGAGTAACATTTCAGAATCATTTTCAAATTGTACCAGCTGTTACCTTCAGGAGCAGTTATGTTGTTAGTGTAAGAGTTAACTCTTTTCATGTGGGAAAGAAGCCACCTGATTTATTTTCTTTTGCCCAGTTGTACCATGTTTTCATTTTCAAAAACCTGCCATGAAAAACATATTCAGCCTGATTTTTTTGTAAGAATCTTCTAGATTTAAACTCTGATTATTAGTTTCTCGGTGGAGACATACTTTGAGAGAATATTTCTTATTGAACTTGTATTTTAAAATCATCTGCTGTCTACTTCATCAGGCATCATATGAACCTCTAAAAGAATTTTTAAAAATGTGGACATCGTGCTTAAAATCCTTTTTGGTTATATCACCACCTCTGGTTGTGAACAGAAATTCTTTGCACAATATTGTTCAGCTTGACAGTTTAGCCATGCCCATTTCAGTCACTCCAAGCAGAATAAGGGGAAATGTCGATTGCTATTCGAAGATTCCTAACAAGGAGGCAGCTATGTTCTCTAAAATGGTGTCTTAAAAAAACCCCAAAAGCAAAAACAGGCAAACTTGTTTGAGGAAGCAGAGATTAAGGAATTGACCTGGTGCAGAAGAAAATGAAACTTTTTACTCTGAAATCAGAGCTAAGTGGCAACTTTAGCATCACACAATTTGCAAGTGATAAGGCCTCCAAGCCATACTAAAGAACAAGTCTTGTTCTGTCTCTCATCTCCATGATCCATCATCTCCCTAATCACTTTCTCACTCTGGTTCCACCATTAGGTCTGCATTGTACAGAAGAATGATACCAAGAAGATGTATGCGATGAAGTACATGAACAAACAAAAGTGTGTGGAGCGCAACGAAGTGAGAAACGTCTTCAAGGAACTCCAGATCATGCAGGGGCTGGAGCATCCTTTCCTGGTTAATTTGTGGTAAGTGGTTTTACTGGACCTCTGAATGGAGACAGTCCCACCTTCACCTTCACCTTCCCTATCAAGTACTGTTCCATAAATGCATCTTAATTTCCAGGTGTGCATTTGCAAGATCCTCATTAGGATCTTCCTCAAGGGCTTTTGTTCTCCTTGGTTTCTTTGACTTTATAATGAAACAAAATTGTTTTCTTGTCACCAATAAATACTGCTTGGTTCAGTTGTCATAGTTCCCCGTGTCTTTAGGTTAATTTTTTTTTTTTTTTTTGTGAGGAAGATCAGCCCTGAGCTAACATCCATGCCAATCCTCCTCTTTTTGCTGAGGAAGACCGGCCCTGAGCTAACATCTATTGCCAGTCCTCCTCGTTTTTTTTCCCCTTTTCTCCTCAAAGCCCCAGCAGATAGTTGTACGTCATAGTTGCACATCCCTCTAGTTGCTGTATGTGGGACGCCACCTCAGCATGGCTGGACAAGCGGTGCATCGGTGCATGACTGGGATCTGAACCCAGGCCGCCAGTAGCGGAGCACGCGCACCTAATCGCTAAGCCACGGGGCCGGCCCCTAGGTCAATATTTTTTTAAAGCATTGTAATTAAACAGGTTGACGAGGAATGAGTTTAGATGTCTTCCCACTCATTAGATACTTTTTCCCCATTAACAGTGGGGCAGAGACTTTGAGTACAAAGTATGGCATCACTGGCTGACATGAGGTTGATCTTCAGAATTCGTACAAAGCAACTTCTCCTTAAAATGATTGGCAATAAAACTGGTTTCCTTGCAGCATACTTCTTAAGCAGCCACGTATATGCCTGTGAGTTGGAAAAGGATAGGTGTTGCCTTTCTCACCAAATAGGTTTCAACAGAGCTGGAGCTAGCTTATGTCAGGGACTAGACATTAAGTAACTGTGATCTGCTTTCAAAGCTATTATCATAATCTAAGGCTTAGAAGATGGGGAAGAAACTTGCATTATCTATTACTTCCTGCTCTTTTCTTATGAGTGGAGGTCTTTATGTGGCTCCCTCATTTTGCTCTACATTTTAATGCATCCATTATGTTAAGAGCCAGTTCTTAAAGCTAATTCAGTATGACTGTTATTTAAATATGCATACCAAGCAGTTCTTACTAGCAAAGGCAAAAAAAAGTCTTTATTCAGAGAATACTAATGGAAAAATAATTAAAATGTCACTGTGTGTTTAGGGACATTTCTCTGGAGGAATCAGTGCATAAAACCTGTCTCCCTCCATCTTTAATTAATACAGTTCACTTAAGATACAATTTGCTCAAAGACTCTACATTGTAGTTGAAAATAAGATGGTTCTGTGTGACTTGGAAATAGGTCTATTATAGTTTGTGCACCACTCAGACGTGGTAGAGTCTAATTTTGGCTCAGGCTCAGTGTATTTCATCAGTATTCTAGAGTGGCCTATTCAAAATGCTGCCATGTAAAGAGTTAAAGGAATGCAGCTCTTTCTTCCCCATCCTTAGCAATCATCAAATTGCCTTCCCCCCCCCCCCCCACCCTCTTCACTCTGAGAATGACAAGATGCTCTCACTTCGCAGCCTCCCTTTGTTCAAAGTCACATTTTCCTTCTTCGAAATTTCAGCCAACTAATTTTCTCCTTTAAGAACAGAAACCTTTCATAAGGACATACTTAGCATTTTGCCTTTTCATGCTTATCTCTCACCACAGAGTAGGCAAAGAAACTTGCATGATCTATTACTTCCTGCTCTTTTCTTGTGCGTGGAGGTCTTTATGTGGCTCGCTCATTTTGCTCTACAATTTTTTTTTGTGAGGAAGATCAGCCCTGAGCTAACATCCATGCCAATCCTCCTCTTTTTGCTGAGGAAGACCGGCCCTGAGCTAACATCTATTGCCAAT